GTGTACAGGGTAGCTGTGGTAAGAAACTAGTTCAAATCTGTGCTGCATGGTTGTGTTCTTAGTTTCCAAAGGCCTCTGTAACCATTTCTCTGAAGAGCAATGTATCACTAAATATTTGTTTCCCAGAAAAAAAAAAAAAGCCTTAGTTCGCAGAATTGTGATCAGACTTAATAATGTGTTTATCACAGTGCCTGGATATTATCATCATCACAGGACACAAAAAGTCTGTTTCTCTATTTTGCATGTTACTGAGATACTCACCATCTAACACATTGTCCTGTGTGCTATATGTATCCTCAGAAAGTGTGGCTTTACACTCACTTTTCCTTTTTACATTCTTTGTTTCATTCTGTTAATAAAAAAGGCATTAGTATTTAAAATATCATAAACTCAGTGTGAATGTCCATTGCTAAGCAATTATATATCTATATCTATATATCTATATATCTATATATCTATATTTGGGGGGACTGAACTGAAGGCCTTCAATCCAAGCTACATTCCCCAGCTCGTTTTTTAAGTTTTGAGACATGGCCACCCTAATTTGCTAAATTGCTCACTCTAGGCTCAAACCTTGCAATCCTCCTGTCTCAGCCTACCAGAGTGCTGGGACTACAGGCATATCCCACATGCCTGGCTTTTGTTAGAATTTATGTTCTACAGATAGGATATGTTTTCCAGTATCTTTCTCCACTGCTTATTTGGTTTTTTAGTACAACCATTCTAATACATCACAACATCAAAGGACAAACAACCTGATGCTTAATACTTTGGGGTTTTTTCAAGTCAAATCATATGACTGTAACAGGTACATATCAGAAAGTGTCTTACTGATAATTCTTTATTATGTCTTTGTCTAAAGGTTTTAGGGTAGTTGTTCATCTATTCTCTTGGTATTTATGATACATAAAACCACTCCAGTAATGATTACTGATACCAATGAATTATTTGCAAAGTTGCCTGAATGTTATCTAAGATGAAGGTTTCATTACCCTAAGTTATACATGCAATAACCAGGAAAATTTTTGAGGAAAACATTAATCAGGAGCTGTGTCAAGTATGTGGACCTAAATGATGTCCTATAGTCTTATTTCTAATTAAAATCAATTGGCTCTATCAGTCCTATTTTTAAAGACTTGTTACATGTATTAAATGCATTTGATGTATGACTTTATGTTTCTTATACTTGTCACAAATTCAGACCATGCCACCTCAACAGATTTTTAACATATTAATAATAATATATTTGAAAAATAAAACAGCACTACTCAGGCAAGTGCAGCAGCACACAACTGTAATCCCAGCTACCTGGGAGGTGAATGACTGCAAGTTGAAGATGGCCTGGGCAATTTAGCAATAGCATGTCTCAAAAAGATTGCTGAAAACAGTGGTACATGCCTATAATCCCAGCACTTGGGAGGATGAGGCAGGAGGATTGCTGCAAGTCGGAGGCCAATGTGGGCTACAAAGTTGGTTCAGGGAAAACTGGAACTACAAAGCAAAACATAGTCTCACAGAGCCAATCAATCAATCAATCAATTAATTATAATCAGGGCGGGGTGTGCACAGTACCTCTGAATTCAATCTTTAATACTGCAAAAAATGAATACAATTTTTAAGTAGCTCTATTCATTTGCCTTTGTAGTATACTTCATATACTCTTCTTGAGATTCTATGAATCATCAAATTTCAGAGACAGCTTCTTGTGTTTTTTTTTATTTTTGGTCCATAAATTTATTATAAAGGATAAAGTGCTTAGTGAAATCCAAGAACCTCCCAGCATAATTTAAGACACATTTTTTCAAATGTAGTATATAGTATATTATGCCCTGATTAGCAAGTGTTTAATCATAAAAAAGAATCCTAAACATCACATAAAGTATGCAAACACCTACCACCCAGTAAGACCGATGTAATCATTTCTGTCAATAATATATGTATTTATAAAAAATTAAAGGTTAGTGCCAGCGAGATAGCTCAGTGGACTAGGTGCTTGCTTAGACAAGCACAGGGACCAGGGTTCAATCCCCAGGACCACCCAGCGCTGTCCCAGGACACACTAAACCGGGCATGGTGGCACTTGTCTGTAATCTCAACTCTAGGGAGGCTGAAAACAGGAGGAATACTAGGAGTCTGAGCTGCTAGTGAGACCCTGTACCAAATACATTTTTAAAAAATGCATAAAACTAAAGGTTGCATGTTTACTGTATACAAAGTAATTTAATTAGCCCTTTACTCATGAAAATTTACATTGTTTCTAATGTTTAATTATTATGAACAATTCTTTCAAGTACCTTAGTTTTACATTTGTTTTTTTTTTTTTTTTTTAGTTTTTTTTTTTTTTTTTTTTTTTTAATGTGTTTATCCCTGAGGTTCCAGCCTCCCACTACCAGTTTTTCTAGAAAAGAAATGGAATATAAGGGTTTTTTTTTTTTTTTTTTTTTTTTTTGCTTTTCTGATAGGGTCTGCCAGTGTAGTGCAGCCTGGCCTTGAACTCACAGCAATACTCCTGCCTTAACCTCTTGAGAGCTGGGGGTACAGGCTTGCCATTCCTGGCCTACATGTCTGTTGGGTTTTTTTTTGTGGTATCAAGGATTGAACTCAGGACCTTGTGCTTGCCAAGAAAGTGCTTATTCTACTGGGTTATCTCCTCGGCCTACGTGTCTTATTAGAGTATTTTCTATAGGTAGAATTATGAAATGCAGTTTAACTAGATTTCCCATCCTATCACTGGACAGCCCTGCAAAGTCTCTGCCAATTTACAGGCTGAACCACATGAATCTTTCAGTGTTTGTCTATTTCTCAGGTACAAAAGGGCAACTGCACATCTTACTCCCCACTCTTGCTAACAACTACGGAACATTTATAACACTCACAAAGACTTTGGGACAAGCACAGGGACCAGGGTTGGAACCTCTATCTTGTGAAAAAGGGCACTCAGAATTTTCCTGACATAGGATGGAAGTCATTTCCATGCAGGGTTGTGTCACTGTCATTACAAAGGAGAAGCAGGGCTAGGGGTATAGCTCAGCAGCACAGTACCTGCCTGGCAAGCACAAGGTCCTGAGTTTGATTCCCAGTACACACACACACACACACACACAAATGACAAATGACAACTCAATCATCTGCAGACACACTGGAGGATGCTGCAGACCAGGACTCACTGTCCTGCCTCTGTGACAGTTATGACCATGTCCCCTAGTAACATTGTTGGAACATCATGACAGGCTATAAATAATCTGTTTTAACACTCCATTGATTTTGCTTTCTTCTAACACCAACAGGACTGGAGAACCAGGTCTTCTTCGCCCACTGGAGAGTCTTGTACTGTCCTCACTGGTCTGCAGAACTGTTCACATGGAGGACAATGTGAATACTGAACGCATCTGAACCTTCCAGAACCCACAAGTGATGCACACCTGAGAGAAAGATGAAGTGGGCCTGCTTTCCACACAGGAGGGAAGATCTGAGCAAATGCAATCTTGAGAAAGACCACTGATATGGGTGGTATCCAGTTCAGACATGCTTTCTAAATTTTCATGAGAAACATCCACTTCAGAATGTACAGGAACTGAAGGTGATGAAAAAAACTTATCTTTTCTTTTGCGTTGCCAGGGATGATGACCAAAACTTTTAAGAGTCCTCATTCTTAATTGCTGAATGATAGAAGGCCTCTTAAAAAAACACACACATACATAATTTTAGTGTTTATTAGTATACAGTTTCTTCCACTTCACATTAAAAAAGGTACAAAATTCACTGCCTTAAATTTAAAAATGCCATTTACCAAGTTATTACAAAAATTTAAAAATTTAAGGGCTGGGCAAATAGCTCAGTGGATTAAAGAGCCTGCAAGCAGGAGCACGAGGCTGGGGGTTCGATCCCTGGGCCTGCCGTGCTGGCCTCACACGCAGGGTGTGCTGAGATGGCAATTGAGACTCGGAGTGGTGGCATTCACCTATAATCCCAGCATGTGGGAGGCTGTAGACAGAAGAACCACTACGAGTCTGATCTAGTAGTGAGATCCTGAACACCCTGTAGACCCTTCCCTAAAATACAGAAATAATAAATAAATAAAACTTTAGTCCAAGTATACCATGACTTAGGTGTCAAGTACTGATCTGGATAAATGCCAATATGTGGCCATTATTCAGTAATTCTCTAAAAGTGAAGGGTTTTCTTGGTTAATGAAAAGATATATGGGCCAAGGAGATGGCTCAGTGGAATAAGCACTTCTTTGGCAAGCACACGGGCATGAGTTCAATCCCTGGTTCTGGGAAAAAAAAAAAAGTCTTGATTTATTAGTTTTCACAAAGCACTATTTGTGTGTGTGTGTGCATTTGGTCCAGGGTCTCACTACGCAGATCAGACTTGTGGTGATCCTCCCGTTTCCAGCTCCCTAGCGCTGGGATCACAAGCGTGCACCACCAAGCCTGGACTCCGTGGCAGGCTCAGTGCACCCTGGGGGTGGGACCAGCGCAGCATGCAGGGCCTGGGATTGAACACTGGTACCTGCACTTGCCAAGGCAGGCGCTTGGTCCGACAAAACACTATTTCTATTGGATACTATTTAAAAGCGTACTATTGAGTAAAACCCAGCACTGTTAAAGTCAGTATTCCTCTTTTACACTTCTTCTCTCAGGCGTTAGTGACAATGTGGAGGACCCTGGTATCCTTCTAAGCTCACTACCCACAGACACTTGGCAACAGAGTCCTGTCTTGCTGTAATCCATGCTTGGTTGGGTTCTACCCCCCTAACACTAATCTATATCTGTGTGACACACTCATCTTTCAGAGATGGAGATGCCTGATCACTCCAAATTCTCCCTGGCCCTGGAGGCCTCTCATAGCCTGCACCCACATTACCTACTAATACAGTCCCCGGCTCTACCAAGAGGTGGCTCATTTACCTGCAAATAAATAATGCTCTCTGCACCAGGATGTGTTTCTCTTTCAAAACCTCCCCATGTACTCATTTATCTATTTTTAAATTTCTCTAGTCTTCAAATCTCGACATACTCAGTACCGACTTGTTTACTGTTTTAGTCTTCACTACTGTTCAAAAGTGTTAATGTAAGTACCAATTATAATTGTGAGTAGGGACTGGGGAGATGGCTTAGTGGAATAAGCACTTCCCTGGCAAGTGCAAGGGCCTGAGTTCAATCCCTGGTTCCGCCTAAATAAATAAATAATGTAATATAATTGTGAGGAACAGCTTTTCAGTACTGTACCTCCTGTTGCAGTCCCGCCTGTGTTTTCTGCACAGTAAATGTTAAATAAATTTTGCATTCTAATGACTTATTTCCTCTCAAACTACAGCACTATTTGCCTGAATAAATTACTTAATTTTTAATAACTTTTGGAGGATTAATTTTTTTTTATGAGCAGAATATATTTATTGAGAGAAAGCAAGCTCCTGTCCAAGAGAGGGACAGGAGGGGGGTCCAAGCAGGTAGTTCCCCCTGGAGGATTAGTTATTACAATCCTTTTTTTTTGCGGAACTGGAGTTATTACAATCCTATATGGCCACTTAGTAAAGTACAACAATGTAAGCCAAGCAGGATAGGTAGACTACTGAAAGGCTCAAGTTCTCTGTTTTTTATCTTCTAGATGAGTATTTCTGGGTTGACATGAAGGGGATCTGAAAAATCTATGCTGTCTTCTAAACTCAAAAGCAAAAAACTCTGTGTCAACTTGTTTACAAGGTCATTCATCCCTTCAATTGTACTGCGCACTCTGTCAATTTTTTTGAGTCAGGCTTATTTATCTTTCACTTCTATTCTTCGCAGAATTTATTTTTTAAAAATTTTTTTGGCGGCTAAGCCTACCCTGAGGGTGGGGCTGGCTTAGCATGTGGTGCCGGGATCGAACCACAGTCCCCTGAGCCTGCCTAAGCAGGCACTTTGGACCGCTGAGCTACCTCACCCGCCCCGCTTCCCAGAATTTATGCTGGATTCTTAAAAGACGTATACTAGTGTTCAGCTGGCTATTAGGGAGATTCTAAGCCGAGCTAACGCAGGCCTGCAGAGGCGTCAAGGGCGTTCCTGCTACGCGCTCTAGCTTTGTGCTTTAGTCGCACGACAAAACTAACCTTTCGAAAGCACTTATCTCTCTTTCACCTGCAAACGCGCCAAACTTTGTAAAAGTGTGCTCACTTCCATGATCCATAGCTTTTCGGGCCCGCGCTAAGGAGTCCGTCTCGGCCGCCGCGCGCTGGCGGGAAGCGAGCAGAACAACCGCGCCTTCCCTCGCACCGGGCCGCGCACCCCGCGGATCCCGGCCGCCGCCGCCTCAGCGTCCTGTGTGACGTCCGCGCGCGCCAGGCAACCCTCCGAAGACCGGCGACACGCCGCTCCCGGCGCGGTTAGGACGGCTGCGGTCGCCTGGGAACAGCCTGCGGGCCAAGGGCGCGTCCTTCCGAGCGAAGAAGCACAAAGCACGGCGCCGAAATGGAAAACTTCTGGGGTAGTGGGCGGCACGAGACAGCTGTCGCCTCACACCCGAGCGGCACTGTCAGGCGGAGAGACTTCCGGGAATTCGCTCCACCCCTGGAGCGGAACTTCCGGCGGGGTCGGCTTCCGGAAGGCGGGACTTCCGGGCAGCGGGGGGGGGGTCTTGCAGAGTTCATGGCGCGTGGTCTGAAGGTTGGCTTCTGAAGGCAAAGCTGCTGTTGTGTGAAGTGGAGGTTCGCCCCAGATAAGGCATACTCTGTGCTGTTGCTAGCCGGGCGGCCTCCGACATGGACTATCGGCGGCTCCTGATGAGCCGTGTGGTTCCTGGACAGTTTGACGACGCGGAGTCCTCCGAAAGGTAGGCCAGCAGCCGTGGAGGACCCGTCCTTCCTCCCTTTGCGGAGTTGACAGTTGTTGGTGGCTTAGGGTCCCCATCCCAGCTGGATTTTCCCTCCTATTTCAGGAGCTCAGGAAGGATTCTTTGCAAGTAGATTTGGTTAGTCACTTGTATGTTTTCAGTATATGCAAGGATACCATTGCAAACACCATCCTGACTGATGCAGATCTTGTGCTCTTGCAAGGGAAAGTGGTATTAAATAATTAGACAAATGGGTAAGAAATAGAGATTTCCCTGAGCAAGTGGTAGTAAGCTGATGTAGGAAGGATGAGTAGGCTTTAGCCAGAGAAATGAGAAGCGTTTTTCAGTTTTAAGATTACAGATCAACGTACAGATGTCCTTGTGGTAGAATGTAAGTGGGAAGAAGAGAGTGACTGATGAACAGAGAATGGCAATGACAGTGCGCCAATTTGCCATCCACCTAGGGCAGGGTGCGGATAAGCCATTGGTTCTGTCCTGGGGTGATTTTGGTTCCCCTACCCAGGGAACTTTGGCATTCCTTAGAGACATTTTTGAGACTGTGGGGGGGGGGTGCCCTAGTAGCATCTGTTGATTGAGGCCAGGGATGCTACAAAACATGCTACTTTTGGCAAAAGCCAAAGCCAAAGTTATAAGGTTTTGGTAATTGAAGAGTTTACTTATGAAGTAATAGTAAATAACAGACTTTCTGTTCTCTTCCTACCTTTGCATACAGGGTTTTGAGCCCCAAGTCACTATTAATTAATAAATTGGGATTGATATCTGATGTTACTTAAACCCCTGTTTTTATTACTTGTGTTACAGGATTTCTGCCCTGCCTTACATGAAAATTCAAAACTAGCAACACCTCTGTTGAATTTGGCCTGTAAACATGTTTGGTTTGCATATTATTGTAAAAATTCCACATTCCATTTAAGTGGAAGATTTTATGCAGATGCCCAGATTTCTAGCTTCTCTTCAAAAACTAAGACAATCCAGTAGCACGGGATCTGAATTCACAGATTGCAAAACACCCAATAGCTTTGCTCTTTTCATCCTGAGCCTCTTCTCCGTCTTCCTTTGTAAACAAGGGTGACTTGGAATTCTATGTTGCAAAGTGGCAGGGCATTTGAGGTAAGACTGCTTTAGCTTTAGACTTATTCCCAGAGCTGGTACACTGATCAGAGTGAAACATTCAATAGGGAAGATCACATACAGTCTAACTTCACTAAGGGAGAAGCAGACTCAACATATGATATACTTCTTTTCTAGTAGGAGTTGGGCGTGAAGAGTAGGCAAACAAGTGACTGAGTAGGCAAACAGGAGAATTGGTATTAGGAAGGTAGAGCTCAGTGGGAGATGTAGGGGAAACAAATGTGTGTGTTGGCATATCTTTATAGTGTGTTACATCATAAATGAATATATATACATATATATGATGTATAAACAAGCCAAAACATTGCCGTTTCCAGTGAAAATACAGATTTGAAGACAATCAGAGCAGAAGATGGCATTCTATTTGAAGAGCTCCAAAGTATGACTGAGAAGGGGGAAGATAAGACAGAAGATGAGGAAGAAGAAGAGGTCTATGATGATGATGGTGATTGGTACTGGGATGATGGAGTTGGAAGACTCACCAAGGGCTCTTCCTGGAGTGGAGGGAGTAACTCACAGGTATGGCTTTATGATATCTGTTGGGTGTTTTTTAAAGGAACTTTTTGTGATTCAAGGATTGAGAGTAACTGAGACTGGGCGTGGTGCCGCACACCTGTAATCCCAGTGCTTGAGAGGCTGAAAACTGGAGAATCACTTAAGTCCGATCTACATAGTGAGACCCTGTAGACCCTGCAGACCCTGCAGACTCTGTACCAAATACATTCAAAAAAAAAAAAAAAAAAAAGAATTGAGTTACTGAAGGATTTTTCTCAGATTCCAGTGTTCAGTAGCCTGGCCATTGTTGGTTTCCATTTCTTTAAATCGTGTGTAGCACCAGTTCTAAGTGCTGAGCCTTATCCTGAGCGCACTTTATCCTCAGTCTTTGTCTCATTCTTGAGACACTAGACCCAAAATGAAATTATTGGAATCCATTTACTGTTGGTTTTGGCTGCTTACTAAACAGTGGAGGGGGATGAGCATTCTTTTAAAAAAAAAAAATTATTACTTATTTGGTACAGGGTCTTGCTACACAGTTCAGACTCAGTGGTCCTCCTGGCTCAGCCTCCCCATGCTGGAATTACAGGCGTGCGCCCCCACCCCTGGTTTTGGTGGCCAGCACACTTGAGGTTCTGGGCTGGCCGACATGCAGCACAGAGAACTAAACCCAGGCCCTTGTGCTTGCCAGGCAGGTGCTTAGTCCACCACGCTATTTCCCCAGCTCTGGAATGAACATTCTTAAGTGTTAAATGTATAGATCACTCAAAATAGAAAAACCAGTTTAATTTTAATTTATCCCAATGACTATATTGAGGAAAAATAAATAGAATGGCCTCTTTTGTTCTGGTTAGTAACTAACCTGTTATAAAGGCCATTAACAAAAGGATTGAGGGGGCAGGTCAGCCTGGCACAGAGGGTGCTGAAGGGCAAGGGGGTAGGCAGGTATGGCTGGTCCATGGTTGGCCTGGCATGTGCAGCCCAGCCTGGGCCCTGCCAGACTCTTCCCCTTCCCATGTAGCTATGTCACTGCTGAAGATGTCCTGGAAGGGGCTTCAGGCAGAGGTGTGTGTGGATTGCAGCCCAGTACCCTGGGTGGTCCATCAACAGGGCTGGGCTGGTGGACAGCAAGTGCTGTGGCATGCCCCAGAGCCTGGGACACCAGATTTCCACATTGCCACAGCACCTGGCTCCCCACACTACTGCAGATGGTGCACGGGCTAGATTTGCCGAAGTTGGCCAGTGCTGCAAATGCTCAGCAACTGACTTTTTGAAGAAGTTGCTGTGGATGTCTGTGATGAAGTAGATAGAAGAGAAGCTGGTGCTGTGTGGCTGACCACCCAGAGCCACAGCACCCTGGTGACGGAGTGTAATGGAATAAGGGGCAACAGAATTTGGCTCACTTGAAGGCCCAGGTTTTCACCACCTTGATCATCGACATTCTTAATGAGGCCAAGCAGAAACAGCAGGGCAAGAGCCTGCGCAGCCCCACAGACAGCTTGGCTCTGTCTGCAAGGAGCCAGGGTGACCTTGACAACCAGCATGCCTGGGACAGTGTGGCCTCCAACAAGGACATGAACCCAGAGCCACAATGCTGGTGCCACTCAGAGCACCCGCACCTGGAGTACAGGTCCCTTTGACCTGCCTGATGGGCCTGAGATGCCTCACAAGTACCGAGCTGAGGAAGACCCTGGCTTCCTCTAGGGCAGAGATATAGCTGCTTGTGAAGGTCAACAGCAGCTTGAGTGATGAATTTCGGGGGCTGCAGAGGGAGAGCTGCAGGCTGCAAGCAGAGAGCCTGCAGCTCTGGCGGCCACCAGGGCCAGGGCCTGTTCCCTCACTTCCCAGTGATGGGCAGAACACACGTCTCGCGCCCTCTCCCAGTGTGAACCAGGCTCTGCTCTGCAGCCTTCGGGAGGCACCTGGGGATGAGTGTCCCAAGCAGCTGCAGCCCTGCCACAGCACTGAGCTAGAGAATGATGTCATTTATTCACTGTGTGTCCCTAGGGGCCTTTCATAGATTCGGAAAGGGACGTGGGGCTAGGCTGTGCCCTCCACTCCCTGCTGCCTGCCCACTGCTACCGGCCCTCTTTATTACACTCCTCTATGTCAGATGCCCCTGCATAGGGCCCAGGCCCCAACCATGTGTGGGGATCCCCAACAGCAAGCCCTGGAGAATCTTCTCTCTCCGCCTCCTTAGTTTGAACTCTGGTAACTGAGCATCCCTGTTTGAATGTAGAGGCGGTGCTGCTGTCACGAGGCCTGGCCCACCCATCTGAAGCTTTGAGGAGCAAGGAGACCAATACAGTAGGACCAGCTTTGGTCTTCCTCATCCCGCTTGGGAGCAGGGACTGACGGTCACTGGCTATGGTCCCGACGCTGCCGATTCTCATCACAGCCCCCACTTGTACCTGTTCTGTGAACTTAAAAGGAAAACCACTCCTTCCATCTCTCCTTCCCATCCTTTGTGGAGGGAAAAGTGCTGGCCAGGCAGTGGCTGAGCACCTGATCCTGGGGCTGGCTGGCTTCCCAGGGTGCCCAGCTCAGCTGGTGGCTGTGGACCCAAGAGCGCCCCACCCCATAAGCTCTGAGAAGCCAGTTCCCATTGTCACTTCCTGCACCCGAGGGAGATGGCTCCACTCTCTGGACACCTGACAGCAGCACCCCACAGCATGTCCCTCCTGACTCGCCTCTCCCTTGGGAGCCAGCCCTACCTGTGTGGTGGTGGTGGCCTGGCACGATGTGTGGCATGTGTGTAAGTGATCATGAAAAGAATAAAGGACTGGATAGAGTGGATGCTTCTTTCCTTAGTGTGTTCCTGGAAGTATTGGTGCTTTCATAGTGAATGCCAGTGGAAGAAAAAAGCATATGATGTGGACCTTAGGTTTCTATTTGCAGCTAGCTAGAGCCTTAGACTCTAAACTCATTCCTTTTTAAAATTGTTTATTACTACATTTTGGATGTACATAGTGATCATACTCATCATAGGGTATTTGTATCTGTGCATGATAATATTTTGATTCCTCTTTTTTTAAACTCATTTCTTGTAGGCAAATCGACAAACTTCCAACTGCAGTGCGGCCAAAATGTCTACTCCAGCTGACAAGGTTTTACGGAAATTTGAGAACAAAATTAATCTAGGTGAGTTTGTATAGTGCATTACCTTGCTGGGCTATAAGGAAATTCTCCGAAAACCATGAGCTATTATACAGTGTTACTGGCCAAGAAATGATGAATGATGTGTTACTAATTGAATAGTATGGCTGAAAGAAAATTGAAACTTTCAATAATTTTTAAAGAGGTGGCTTCAGGGAGGCTGACTGGCACATTTTTTTGTTTTGTTTGCTCATCTGTTGTGGGAATATGAAGTTAGAGATGTTCTTGTCTGTCTGTCAGATTTTGCAGTAGGA